CTCGTTCGAGGACGAACGAATGTTTAAGTGTAGGAGGATGTAACGACCCGGCCGGTCGTTTTTGGAATTTACGCCCCGATCCCCCATTAACTGCTTCCCCTAAGTTCATTTCTGCTATTTTGGTTTGCCGGGACGTTCGGTGTTGAGTTTTGGAAAGTTTTGGGACACTTAGTCCCTAAATGAGAGCTTAAGTGTTGAAAAGTGGTCCGTAGTCGGAACAGTATGAAGACGACCTCGGAATGGAAATCCGATGGTTCCGTTAGCTCCGTTAGGTGATTTCGGGGTTGGGAGCGTGTTCGGAATGTATTTTGGGAGCTCGTAGCTCATTTAGGCTTGAAATGCCGAAGTTTGAATTTTTGAAGTTTCCGGTTCGATAGTGAGTTTTTGATCCGAGGGTCGGATTGGAATTCTGGAAGTTGCAGTAGCTCCGTCATGTCATTTGGGATGTGTGTGCAAAATTTCAGGTCATTCGGACGTGTTTTGGTTAGGTTTTTGATCGAAAGCGTATTTGGAAGAAACTTGTAGTTCTTAGGCTTGAATCTTTGATTTAATCGGGTTTACGGTGTTGTTTTAGGTGTTTTAAGGATTGTTACAAGTTTGAATAAGGTATTAGGTGGTATTGGTGCTTTTGGTTGAGGTCCCGGGGGCCTCGGGATGATTTCGGGTGGTTGACGGAAAATTTTGAAGTTGAATGGATTGCTGAAGGTTCTGTCATTTGGTATTTCCGCTTCTGCGGCTTGGGAAGCGCAGAAGTGGCTAGGCAACCGCAGGAGCGAAATTCGAGTGCTTCTTCAGTTTCCGCAGGTGCGGAAGTTTAACCGCAGAAGCGGTTACGCACCTGCGAGATAGTAGTCGCAGATGCGGTCCTTGGAATTTTGTTTGAAACCGCAGAAGCGGTAATGAATCCGCATAAGCGGCAACCGCAGGTGAGGTGAAGGGCCGCAGAAGCGGAAATCTTGACTTTAATGAAGAACCGCTGAAGCGGCTCGTGGTCCGCAGAAGCGGTCCCTTGTCCGCAGAAGTGAAAACCCCTAGACAGAAATAGAGATGTCGAGGGTTTGAGTTCATAAGTTGCAAAAATCAATTGAGAGCTCGGTTTAAGGCGATTCTGAGTGGGATTTGAAGTGAAGATCACTGGGTAACGTTTCTTTGGTCCCTTCTTGTTATATTTCATCATTATATAGTTAAATCCACCGTTAGAATTCGAATTCAAGGTCAAAATTGGGGAAAATTGGAAGAAACTTCATAGACCTAATTATTGAGTTTTGAGTGGGCAATTGACCTCCGATTTGGGAGATTTTTATATGGTTAGACTCGTGAGAGTACGAGAGTTCTGAAAATATGAAAATTATTCGATTCCGTGACGTTGGATGGAGGGGCATTTTGGTCATTTTACCTATTTTTGCGCCCTAGCTGTAAATTTATTAGCGGAATCAGTTGTTTGCAATATTATTTACAATGTGTAATTGAATTGAATAGATTTGGGCCATTTGGAGTCGGATACTCGTGGCAAGAGCGTGGTTTCTAGTTGATATTGAGCCGGTTCGAGGTAAGTGGCTTGTCTAACCTTGTGTGGGGGACTTTGTCCCTTAGGATGTGATATTTGGTAATTGAATGCCTTGTACGTGAGGTGACGAGCGCGTACTTGAGCTAATTGTTGAAAAATCCGGTTTTTACTTAAGATATTGAGACTGAGTTTCCTTCATATTTGCCTTGTTTTACTTGCAGTTATAACCTATGTTAGATTAGAAAAGCATGTTTAGTTGATTTAACTTGCCTAATTGTTTAAGTTGCCTTGACTGTACTACGTGAAGTATGCTAGGCTAGTACTACCTGATGTTTGTCTTTTGTACTTCATTTCTGAATATCTTCTGGTTGTGGTTGCGCATTTACATTAGGACTACGGATGTGGGATTCCGGTAGCTCCCCCCCTTGTTTGTTTACTTTGGGACTACGGGTTCGATTCCCGGTAGATCCCCCTGCACTTTTACTTTGGGACTGCGGGTTAGAATCCCGATAGATCCCCCCTGCACATTGATAGTTGGACTACGGGATGGTATCCCGGGAGATCCTTCGGATATACACATATGATGGACTACGGGACGGTATCCCGGGAGATCCACTGGACAGTTGAGAAAAGGACTACAGGACGGTATCCTGGGAAGTCCTCATTGTTACCATTGGTGTTGAGCTGTACTTATTCTGTGGTTGTTCCGTTCTTGTGTATTTGCTATTGCCTTGTTTAATCTGTCTTATTTCACTGCTGTATTTATTATTTCTGTCAGATTATCATACTGTTAATTATTGTTATTACTATATTTTGTCTCAGTATGGCCCTGGCCTTCCTCGTCACTACCCAACCGAGGTTAGGCTTGGCACTTACTGAGTACCGCTGTGGTGTACTCATGCCCTTCATGCGCATGTTTTTCATGTGCAGATCATCCAGGTACCTCCACTCAGGCGCACTATCAGTGAGGCAGGAGGACTACGGAGACTTTGAGGTAGATCTGCTGCGTCCGCAGACCAACGAGTCTCCCTCTTACTTTATCTTTAGTACTTAGTTTTCCTTCTTCGGTTGTTAGAAATTCTGGAGTTTGGAACCTTTACTATACACTTCTGTAGCCTGTGTTGCCCGTGAGTTTCCGGGTTTCGGAAATTGTTTTAGACTTGTGATATTGAGTTTTACTTGCCAAGCGGCCTTCAGTACAGTTTCCTTTAGATATTTGATTTGATTTTCTCTATTTTTCCGCAATTATTATATTTTCGCAAATGTTAGGCTTGCCTGGTCATGGGGACCAGGTGCCGTCATGACATGTTCACGGTTGGTGAACTAGGGTCATGACACAATATCCCATTAAGATTGTACGGATCAGACTTAATAGAAAGTTGAGAACAAAACTTCCTATAATCTTTGTCATCATAGAGTCTTATGATCCCCGTTTTATGGGAACTGCCATGACCAACGGTAAACATTCCATCACCATCACCCTTGTCACTCTCAATTAAACTTCTTTTTTTCTTGGAAAATAAAGTAGAGAATTCCTCTATAATATTTCTTTTATCTACTTAGGAAATGTTAAAATTCCTGCCTATACCATCTCTAGTTGAAACACATGTCATTGCAGTCTCAACATCATTGTCGCTAACGAGAACAACAATTAAACAAAAGACACACCCTGTCAGCTATTGTATCCAAGTTATTCTCTGTATCCAAGTTCATCCCGAGTAATAGTACCATAAGGATAATCACAAAAGCCACCGGACAGCTTTATGATGCCAATGAAGTAAGATGAGCTATTCAATGAAACTCGTATTGTAAACAAGAAGAAAGAGACTGATTCAGAAAGGTGGGTCGAGGGTCGAGCCTCGACTATACATGTAAGTTTTTTACTTATCATTAAGTATTTTGATTTACTTTTATATAAATTTTGAAATATTAATTCAATATAATTTTTCTTATAGGTTCGCTTCAGAGCTGATGTGGGGGAATCATACGAAGTCAGCCACCTAACGAGTCGGCCGAGGCAATCCAACTTTCGAACGAGGATGCTAAAAGAATACTCCTTGAGTACTTTATATACTTTGAACTAGACAATAGAACTAGTTTTCAAATGAGCTTGTAATAAACGTTAACTTAGTTTTGTTAGCTTAATATTTTAGTTCTATTGATCTTATATTTTGTTGCGTTTTAGTGTTGTTGTTGTTGTTGTTATTGTTGCTGGCATAAAATGCCTGTTTAGGATATTTGGTATAAGCTGGCAGGTGGTGTAGCAGCCAAAACAGGCAGTTTCTGCCAAAAATATACCAAAAAAGCGACCAACTTTGGTGTCCAGTTGGTCGCTATTCACTTAAAAAAAAAATAATTTTCTGGTAATTTTGCGACCAAGGTTGGTCGCTTATAGTGAAAAAAAAAATTTAATTCTTGCCATTGGCAACCAATATTGGTCGCCCAATAAATAAAAATTTATAACATTTATTAATATAGCGACCAAAGTTGGTCGCTTAATATGATTAAAAATAAATAAAAATAAAACGTTATTTACATTTGGAGACCAACTTTGATCGCCAAATATATAATATTAAAATATTTGAGCGACCAAAGTTGGTCGCTATATGCTTTGCCCGAAAAATTTGATCCTTTTACCTGGGAGACCAACGGTGGTCGCTAACTTTGGTCCCTAAGGTAAAGGGACCAGCTTAATATCGACCAGGCGTGGTTGGTCGCTTTTTGGTCGCTTTTTGGCCAATAAGCGACCAACGTTGGTCGCTTTTGCTGGTCGCTTTTTTCCGGAATTCTAGTAGTGAGAACAGAATATACATCAACACAAACATTAAGGGTGTGTTTGGTATGAAAGAAAATAATTTTCTCGAAAATATTTTTCAATTTTTCCATGTTTGGTTGGCTTAAATGTTTTGGAAGACATTTTCCTCATCAAGTCATCCTCCAATTGGAGAAAAATATTTTCCTTATCAAGAGAATGGAAAATATTTTCCAAAACTCATTTTCAACCTTCCCCATCCTATTTTTCATCCCCACCAACCTACCCACCCCATCCTACCCCACCCCAGCCCTCGCCCCACCCCCACCCTAGATAAAAATATCATTAATAGTACTTTCTTTTCATGTTATAGATAGATTTTTTTTTTTCATTTTAACAAATGAATATTTTCTTTTTATTATATAAAAAAGTATTTTTTTCATTTTAATAAAAATTCATGATGTAGAAAAAGCAGTTTCTTTTATTTCAACAAAATGAGTATTTTTTTGCATGATGTGGATAAAGTATTTTTTTTATTTCAATAAAATGATTACTTTATTTTCATGTTGTAGAAAGAGTACTCTCTCTCTCTCTCTCTCTCTCTCTCTCTCTCTCTCTCTCTCTCTCTCTCTCTCTCTCTCAAGCTTTAAAGGTAAGTTTTTTCATTGCTCATCTCTATCAATTGTTTCTTATCTTTTTCATTTCACTTTCGTTTATTCCCTCTATCCATCTAAAAAAAGAATGGAGTCCAAAGTATAATCATCTATTTTTCATGTTAATTAGAACGTTTCATTTCTCTTATGTTTAAGCTGCTACATAAAAGTACAAAATTTCAACAAGTTTCTTTTAACTCTCCATATTAACTTTCTAAATATTAGTTCTACCTTTCTTTTTAATTATGACAATAAGCGCATTTTATGTATTGATTAGATCATCTGATAGTTCAATCAAAGTTGATGCTCTACGTCTCGTCTTCTATTAATATATCTAATAGTACGTAACAACATTGTTAGTTTCGATCAAATCTCATATCAATTTTGTTTATAGTAATCCGCAGATTAATATAGCTCTACGAGATTCTATTAACCTAATTGATTCGATATAAAATGTCTACATATTTTTATGATGAGTTATTTGGTATGAGAGAATTGTTCGAAAGTCTTTAATAATTGTGTCATATAGTCAAATCTAGATTCTGATATATATCGTTTATTTTCTTAAATCTAGTTCCTCATCCATCAATCATTTTTTAATATTGAACGTGTTCGAGCAGTGGAGATACATCACATTACCTTGGGATGCGGTCCTTCCCCCATCTTGCACGAACCCGGGCGAATGCAACACATTTTTTACCACAATATAATGCTGAATACTTTTTCTTTGCATGCAATTACAGATATGCAAATCTTCGTTAATTAAGACCCTTACTGGAAAGACCATAACACTGGAGGTTGAGAGCTCAGACACCATTGACAATGTTAAAACAAAGATTCAAGACAAGGAAGGAATTCCTCCAGACCAACAAAGGTTGATTTTTGCTGGAAAACAACTGGAAGATGGTCGAACACTTGCTGATTACAATATTCAAAAGGAATCCACACTCCATCTTGTGTTGCGTCTTTGCGGAGGTTATAGAGAAGATGAAGTTTATCCAATAATTATTAGGACATATAAGGCAGAAATAATAACCCTAGAAGTCAGAACTTTGTTTGAAATTGGAAATATTATAAAAACGGTCCAAGAAAAAGGAGATTATAGGGATAGGTTACATTTGTTGTTAGATGGTCGCCATCTTGAAAATGATAAACGTCTTTCTGATTATCACATTAGAAAAAATTGGGTACTTCATCTTATACGACGATAGAAAGATGAAACTACTGATTGATATATATCTATCCTTGTCTAGAATCTGATTGGTAAGAGTACTATTTGTTTTGGAGGTAGAGAATTCTCAGAATATTGATGGTGTAAAGCAAATTAAGATTGAGAATATAGTGTTGTGTACGTTGTCTATCATTTGGCTCTAATCCAACTTTCTTTATATCAAGAAGCAAATATTCAAAAGACTGTTTTGGTGTAATGCTTAAGTTTCTGGTGATTGAACCATTTTTGCTGGTTCTTGGCTCCAATGGGAAAAATAAAGCTTTATAGTTTAGGTACATTATTGGTTCAATGTGGCAGGATTTTGTAATTGCTTTATCGTGCAATTATTATGATTCAGTTTAAACAATTGTGTTGATATATTATTGTCTTTGATGATGTTGCATCATAATTGAAAGAAAAAAATTGATGGAACTTTTTTTTTTTTTTTTTTTTAGAAAAAAATGTTTGGGGGTTTTAAAGCAATAGTAAAGGTTATTGAATCAAAGGGGAAAATTTGGGGGTAAAGGAGATTGAATGTATACATCTTCTAGGACACAGAATTGTTCGGTATCTGTATTGTTAGAAGTTAGCAGATACCTGATAAAATAATCATAGTAGCAGGTAGGGGTGTACATGGACTGGGTTGGTTCGGGTTTTATCAAAACCAAACCAAACCAAAACAACTATATCGGTCTGGATTGGTTCGATTTTGTCGGATTTTTCGGGTTTTTTGTTACTTAAATATTGTTTCAATCTTACTTTGTTAAATTTTTGATAAGTAAATATATGTTTAGTAAAAATATAAAAAATTGACAAATATATTATCTATTAAAATATTATATCCCGCAAGATATTCCCAAATATTCTAGATATTTTTTAAAGAAAATTCTATATAAAACCTTAAAAGGATATATAAAAATTATATATTTATATGTCGGTTTGGCTCGGGATTTTTTACTCAATACCAAACCAAATCAAACCAAACCTAGTCGGGTTTTTTAATCGATTTGGTTTGACTTTTCGATTTGGTGCGATTTTCCGGTTCGGTTTGTACACCCCTAATACCATCGTCGTTAAGAAAACATAGTACCAAATTTCCTCATGTTCCTAGTTGAACGGACAAGAGGCACTATAGAATGTCATATACCACTAAATTATAGTGTAATAATTGGTCAGGAAACATTTTAAGAGGTAATGAAATCTCAGCATGTTGCTCTCGCGAAGGCAATGTTGTCTACCATTGTACTTATAAGCGAACATGGAAATCTTTCTTTACTTAGTAAACCTTCAAATCATGCGATACCTTTACCTAAAACATGAGATTTTTCAGGATGATAACGACTTGTTTATTACCGGAAATAATGGGGAATTAATTATGAGAGGATATATCTCAAATATGAAAAGCATAACTAGAGAATGTGCATATGTACTTGTTCGAAATTATACGTTCGTTCTTGAAAATGCATGATGGTACGTTATCTTTTCTTCTAAAAAGTACGATGATTAATTAGTTATGCATGAAATATTGTGACTCTTGTGAAGAGGTCTCATGTGAAATATAATGTTGCAACTCCTATATCAAAAAAAGATAGTTTAATATACAAAACATCTTCCATTCACGCAAGATTGCAATTTGTACAAAGAGGTCTTTTAACCCTAAACTTTATTTGATTCATTGACAGATCAATTTACACATTCAAGTTCATCTCAGATTTTTTTCTTTGACATGTACGTTCATTTGATAATTGTCTTCTGGTAAAACACCATTAGTTTCATTGGCTTGGTTGTGCGAGTGCAAAAGCAAACCAAGTGGTCTTCATTGTATTTACGGAAATTTGCTATTAAAATATTTTTTTGAAGAAATTATTTTTGGTTACCTTCGAAGATTGAACTTTATTTAGATGGACAAAAATCAATTTTTTTTTATAAATATTTCTAAATTTTCTGATTTACACTTGTTATTGTTTTATTCTCAATAAGTCCTTATTCCACATGTTCACTACCATTATATTATTATATGTCACCAACTTTTGTATCTAACCAAACAAAAATGATTGGGAACATAGATATTACTCCGTCCAGTCCACTTTAAGTGATTTTTTTTTTGTTTCTTTTCACACATATTAAAAAATTCACATTTTAATATTAATTAACAATGAAATTGATCATATTAACCATATTTTGCTCATTGGAAAGATAAGAAGTTAATTCTTTGTTTATATTTGAAAAAAAAATTTAAATATTGTGAATCACAAAAAAAAAACCAAAAAATCACTTAAAATAAACCGGAAGGAATATTAATTAAAAAAAAAAACATTTTCCTTCCTACTAATTGCACTTCTTGTCATTTTCTCTTTAGTTCGTGTCACAAAGCAAGGGTGGGCATATGTCCTTTTTTGGTTACTGTTCCAACTCCCTTTCTTTCACTAACAAAAAACAAATTCTCAGCTTCACTCTCTCTTCCTTTTTCCTTTACCTTTACCAATTCCATTTAGGGTTCTTCTACTACTTCTCCTTACGCATATTCCTCTCCAATGGCTGAATTATAATTCGAACCTAAAAATGATGAGTCGGCCGGCGGTGCACCCGGTGGAGGTTCCGCCGATGACCATCGCGGCGGTGCCGAGAGTGAGGATGAAGGATATTCAAGGCATGCCCGGTACACTTGGCAGCCTATTGCTACGGCTGTGTCAGCTGGTGTTTGCTGTTATCTCTATCGTTGTCATGCTCACAACCTCTGATTTCCCCTCCGTCACTGCCTTCTGGTATACCCTCAACGCTTACAGAGCTCTATTTTATCTAGTTTCTAAATTTTATTCATGAATAGAAGTCGGAATTGAGATTGATAATTAGGTTATTTGATCTCCGATATTATTTTTGAAATGGAGCTAGTATAAATTATACTAGTATTTATGTGGATGAATTGAAGAAATATGGATGAAGAATAAAAAAAATAAGAAAAAAAGGCTTACTTGAGATTGCAAAATGCTAGCAGGTGTGTGTAAGAAGTCTTAAGCATCCATTGTAAAATGCAGATAAGTTCTTTTTATCACTCCTTATGTCCCAGTTTGTTTGCTATAGTTTGACTTGCCACGATGTTTAAAAAAAACATAGACTTTTTGACTCTTTAGTTAGGTACGGTAAAATAGCAAAAGTCCCCCTGCACAACAAAATGGTGCTTACATTTAAGTCATGTCAATGGCAAAATGAGAATGTAAAAAGTTAACTGGATATATAGAAAGGTGCCTATTTTGTTGGGATTGTCTAAAAAGAAACTGGTGCCAATGCTAAAGCTAAACAAATTAGAATTGAGGGAGTATCTTAAAGGCGGTAAGATGAAATGCATCAACTTTCAGAAAATTCAATACGATGATCGTTGCTTCAGAACTGCCTCCAAACTTTTTTTAATATCCATTCTTTTTCATTTTAAGGAATGCCTCCCTAGATGCTACTGTATAGGGTGCATTGCCTCTCTGTGACTTGTGTGCTTATTTACTTTTTCTGGTGGAATCTCAATAGTTGCTGAAAGATATTCAGCAACAACAACAACAACAACCACCCAGTGAAATCCCACAAGTGGGGTCTGGGGAGGGTAGTGAGTACGCAGACCTTACCCTTACCCCGAGGGAGTAGAGAGGCCGTTTCCCAAAGACCCTCGGCTCAAGAAGACGAAAAGAGACAAATACATTAGCACCATCAACAGAAAATATAGAAATAATAACAGCGACATAAGAACCAGAAAATAGATGAAAAGCAATAACAAGAACAAGTAAATAAGGCCCTATGCTATGGAAAACGAAAGAATAGTGTGAACACAATATTAACCACTAGCAATCTAAGACAAAACCCTATCAGGCTAGCCTCACACCCGGTACTTGCTGAAAGATATTTAGCAAGTAGCCCTATTTATTTGCTTGAGGGTTTGATAGTTTCCCTCCATGGTTCGTAATCTTTCATACTCAAATGGTACTAAAAGATAGTGCAGGTTTCTACACATAGTTGCTTTGCGATGTATCATTTTATTGGAAAGACAAAAAATTTTATGACAACTTTTACCTCTTTGAGTTGTAGGTGCTTACTGCCTTTCTTTAAATAGTTTCAGCAAATGTATTAACTCAAAGAAAGCTATTCCCTGGTTTTCTATTTCTCATGCGGAGAGTAGTTAGTGTTATTCTAATTTGGACTACATTCTTGTTGTCCAGCTGTATTTAATTCATTCAAAGAGATTAATCTAGAAAATCTTAAAAAGGAAAAAAAAGGGCATATATCGTGCTTCACAGCTTAGAGTCCTACTTAAATTAGTGTATGCAGGAGTAATCTGAATGCTTTGTGTTGTATTCTTATTATCACATGGACGGTGTAAATATTCAACGGAATCCTACTTAAATTAGTGTATGCAGGAGTAGCTGAATGCTTTGTGTTGTATTCTTATTATCACATGGACGGTGTAAATATTCAACGGATTAAGTCGGAGATAATATTTTTAGTTCGTCCTTCTGGCACACTTTTGTGTTTGCTTAATCAAGAAATTTACCTGACGCATATTCTTCAGAAAAGAGCTGGGATTTTGATTTAGTTGCGCTTCCATTTGCTTTTCTTCTTTGTGATTTTGCTTATGCCCCATATTGTGTTCATGTGCCGGTAATGCAATTGCATTAGTTTGGAGAAGGGATTATGACAAGGAATTGAAGGAGGAACATATTTTGTTTGAGAAAATTTGATGTATTCAGAATTTAAAAAAATGGTGTGATGCTTCTTTTTATTATTGACATGATGCAATGCTGGAATTCTTAGATTCTGTTCACTGTTCAGATTTGTGGGATCTCTCTCCAGTTGACGTTTTGATAAGATTATCTTTTACTGATCAAAATCTTTCTAACCAGTATTCTGGCCCCTTGTTTGTTTCAGCTACCTTGTAGCTGCTGTTGGATTACAGATCATATGGAGCTTCATTCTTGCTATTGCCGATGTATATGCAATTTTGGTGAAAAGAAGTTTTAGAAATACAGCAGTTGTCAGTTTATTTGCCATTGGCGATGGGGTAAGAAACATCATTTTGCAAATATATCCACAATCCATCCTTTGAGGTTGCTTTCTATGTTCGCAGTAATCAACCTGTCTTGTCTACCAAAATGTCTTTTGGTAGGTGACTTTAGGTTTTCAAATTGCTTGATGACGTCAAACTAGAGGCAGTTTATATTATCACAAATGTGCAGCTGTCTTAGTGGGACTTGGTTGGAGCGTTACATTGACCCTAAACAAAGTTCTCTTATATAACCACTGATGTTGCACTTTGAAACCTTTAGTTTATTGGTTGATAGTTGGCCTTTTTTGAAACTTCAAATACATTTTACCTTTCATGACTCCCTTTAAGTCTCTTTAACTTCACTAGCCGGTGTTTTCACCAGCGATCTGTCTTGATCTCTACTTGTCGTCTCTAGTTATTAATAAGGTAACCAATAATGTAAAAGTTCGACTATGCATTCTGTGTTAATTAATGAAACTAGGTAAGAGTCAACTGGAAGCTGGAACTTCGGGAAGTAACGATTTTAGGTTCAGTTGAATTAAGACAAAAATATATGCATGACAAGTTTAGTCCCCACTGAAAGAACAAAGGTAAAGAGTGGTTGACTGAGATTGTGGTGCCTATATGCCGAAAATTCAGATATCTAAGCTAGATCTTATAGGAAAATTGCATAGTAGATGAAGATGTACACATAAAATTAAAATAAGATGGTTAAAATGGAGTGGTGTTATGTGACATAAAGATAATACCAATATAAGTGAGATGAATTCTGTAGAATAATTGTTTGACCACCAATGATATATCTACAAGATGAATGTCACGAAAATGAGGATGTTAGTATGTGTATGTAGTCATACAAGTTGAACAAGTAACAAGTGCTAAGTAACTGTGTATATTTATCCTTTTTGCAAGTCAATTGTAGTATTGAAAAAGTTATCGTCCTCAGGGATTAGTTTCTCCAATATACAAATTAATTCTTTGATTACTCTTTGAAAAATTGTAATAGGTGTGGGAATTGGTTTAACTAAAACACTAAAGTTAAACCAAAGTTAATAAAAAGCCAAAGAAAGAAAAGTATGCGAAGTTGGGATTGATTTAATGATAACAAGGTTGGGAATTTTGACTTAACTTGATGTTTAAGTTAAGATAATCATTTAATTCTTCCCCTACTCAATTCTTCTTACGAATTAGAATACTTCTTACAAATACACTCATATATTATAGAATGTTTGATCAGAACCACCTCTTTTGGTTATGAGACTAATTATAACTTTTTGATGCATTAAGTATGACTTGAAATATTTGATTCGTTCCACAAAAGTGTAAGACCTCTCGATTATCCTGATTACCAGAATTAATAAAATACCGAAACTTCTCCCTCTATTCAGATTAAGATTTGTATTTTGAGCAAGAGATTAAGGACTGTATTAAAAATGCCATGATTGTAGAAACTATATCTTCTCTTTCGATTAAGATTTAGTACAAAAGCATTAAGAGTAATCCATTTATGCAACACTCATTACAGAAGGCTAAAGGGCTCTTCACTTACCTCATAAACGCTTTGAACAATAAATAAGGTATTAATAGGGAATCACATAGGGTACAATACAGAAGGTTAAACTCAAATTAATACTTTAAGATCCATCAATATCCCAACAAATGTCTACTCTATCTAGGAGTTCAAATCCTCAAAGATACAAACAAGATTAGTACAAATTGTAACCATAACAATGAGAGAAAAGTAAAGGGGAAGTTTCACAAATTTTGGTCACTACTCCTTGAAATAGAATAGAACATGGTAAAAATATCTTCCTTAGGCTCTCCAATAACCATTCCGTGGCTTCAAGAATTCCTTGCTGCAAAAATTACAAATTAATTTGTTCATTGGAGAGCCAAAGAACAAAATTTGGAAGGAAGAAAATGAAGATTTTTGGCTCTGCAAACACTTCTCCACGGCTGTAATTAGAGAACTTTATGAAGAAAATGGAAGCTTTAGGCAGAATGCAAAACTAGGCTAAGTAGTTGGTAGGATCATGCACTGCAACTAGGAGCCGTAATTCTTAAGCTTTCAGACTAAACTTAGCTGCAGCGCCTCGTGAAGGAGATTTTTCAGCTGTACATGTCATTTCTATTGCAATTTCCAAGGCGTAAAAATTGAGAAGTTTCAGTTTTTGGTAAGGGTTTTGTCCTAGAGAAGGAGGCTCAAGGTAAGGAGACTTTCACCATGTTTTATCCCAAGTTCAAGCTATTTTAAGAAGTAGAGCCAAAAAAATAGTGAAACTTCCCTTGTAGTTTTCACTTTTTGTTTCAGTTATAATTTGTGTTAAGCTTGTTTATATCTTTGGGAATTTGAACTCCATGATGGAGTAGACTTTATTGATGGATCCTGGTGTATTAATTTAAAGTGTAATCTATCCTATTCTAACCCCGAAGCTCGCTTAAAGCACACTTAAGCCTTGAAGCCCAAGTTTGACGCTTCGCCTCACTTAGTTAGAACTTTAGTGTAGCCATCAAGGTGCTAAGTTGTGCACAGTTTACCGATGGGCTCAATCTTTAAGAGCACAAACATTAGACATCATATATAGTACACAAAAGTGATACATTTCGTTAAGAAAGTGTCATGACTGAAAATTTTGAAACTTTAGTATAAGACAGCTAGCCATTGAAAGCCCAAAACTATATTTACTAATCTAAATTAGAACTTTAAGATGGTCTTTGAACTCGATTGACATGATTTTAATTGCATCTATAGCTTAATTATAATTCTTCCATTCTTTTGATTGTTTGTGTATATAGTTTCATTTTCTTGGATTACATTTCTATTTTTTGCTTTTTATTCATCAGCGCTTTTCTTCGCTAAGCTCACACTTTAATTGCGCCGCTTTTTGACCTTTTGACTACTTTGTTCTAACCTATGTGTAATTCCCTCATTAATGCCATGTTTACTGTTCAAAGCATTCATTGAAGTCGGTGAAGGGCCCTGTATCGTTCTTTTGGTGTTGCATTAATAGGTTCCTGTTGATTGGTTTACACTAAATCTGAATGAAAAAGGAGATTTAGTTTCTAACTTTTACTTAGCTCTTTATAGTTGATTTAATACAAGTCTTAATCTTAACTGAGAGAGGAGGTTTTGGTACTGTATGTGTTGGTTCAGATAATCAAGAGGTTGCAGTTATGTGTTGGTGATTCTAATTAGACGTCTACGATAGAAGAGTGTATTCGAGAGAAACATGCTAATTTGTAAATAGAGTTGAATAGAGGTGGAATTAATTGATTATCTTAAGTTAATCATCAAGTGAAGTCAAGATTTCCTACCTTTATATAATTGAACCAATCCTAACCTCTAGCATACCTTCCTTTCTTTAACTTTTATTAAGTTTAATTAGACCAATTCTCGCACCTATTACAAATTCTCAAATAGTAATCAAGCAAAATTAATTTGTTCATTGGAGAAACCAATCCCTAAGGACGGCCTAGTAAAAATTTTCAAATAGCAATCAAGCAAAATTAATTTGTTTATTGGAGAAACCAATCCTGTGAATGGTAATCTTTTTTTTTTTTTTTGATAAGCATTTGACTTCTACCGGTTCCTTAGCATGTGCCAACAAGATTAGAAATGATCTTATCTGAGGATTGAAGTAGCATACAACAACAAACAACAACAACTACCCAGTATAGTCCCACAAGGTGGGGTCTGGGGAGGGTAATACGTACACAGACCTTACCCCTACCCGAAAGGGCAGAGAGGCTGTTTCCAATCGACCCTCGGCTCAGGAAAACAAAAACAAAAAACAAAAAGCAAAAGAGCATTAGTAACTCAAGCAGAGATCACATAAATAATTATCTAAACATAAACCATAAATAAAATGGCATGCAAAAATATCGACCAGTAACTACCATAAGGGGGGATTGAAGTAGCATACATAGGATAAAAATTGAGGGTTTTTAATCATTTTCTACATAGACCACCAAATTCAGTCTTTAAGCATGGTGATTAAAGATGGTAAAAAGGAACAACTAATGAGGTAGATCTGAATCTCATACATGGAAATATCTCAAAAGACTTTCTATCTTTAGGAGTCCACTGTGGAATTGAAAGCAAAAATTCATATAGTTTATCCAACTAGTTGGCACTTAGGTTTAGTTATTACACTTATATTAGGTTTGAGTAGGGATAAATGTGAGATTTAGAGAATATCTATCTTTGGAGAAACCCTAATGTGCTTTAAAAGATGAAGTACTTAACAGCATTTGAATAAATGGATCCGAATATAGAGTGAAATTTATGGACTATAATTATTACAACTACTTTGGGCTTGAGGTGTAGTAGTAATTTGGTTGGGAGAAGTACCTAAATCGTCTTTTGCATGGTCTGTTCTTGGATACATCATAACTGCTAACATATTGTATAGTTCACAAGATTGAAATTGAATGGCCAGTTCTCCTCCTAACCCTTGATTATGTTGTTTTCCAAGATTTTTATGTTGGGTATATAAGCTAATATGTTTTCTTTAAAATAAGGACTGTTTAATCAAATTATTTGCATTTTATTGAGTTCTAATGGGGCACATGTGGATTGATCTTATGTGATCATCACTTCTACTCTTCATCCAACTGTAAGCATAATGTTTGTATACATTTATTAGAAGGAATGTTGATCACATCATTCGCAATCTACTGATTTTAATGGGCCACTTGTAGAAATATTTTTGTAATATGCGATCATCACTAAGGGTCATGATTTCACTGTCGTGCAGATCACGTCAACTCTTACATTTGCTGCTGCCTGTGCTTCAGCTGGAATTACAGTCCTTATTAGCAATGATCTTGACAAATGCAAAGTGAACCACTGCACGAGATTTATGTCAGCTACAGCAATGGCATTTTTAAGCTGGTTTGCTGCATCACCATCCTTTTTCATGAACTTTTGGTCTCTGGCTTCTCGATAGCTGGCTGCAGTGCTCCCCCTTTGCAGTCAGGCCACCTTAACTTCTCTCATATGTAAATCAGTGCATTTCAGTTTGTTGACATTTTCGTGAGGAATAACCTCTTTGTTGACAAAGTTAATGTAGAAAACTATGTCAAAATTTAGGCCCAACATCGATTTTCAAGAGTTAAATAGATCTTCAAGCTTGGGTGACTATATCTAGAAGTTGTGTTGAGTTATGTGCCAAAGACTGCTTGTAAAGCCTCTAACTGATTAATCGATCATCTTAGCATCAGATTTTTAACAAATTCAGTGTTTTATATGTAGCCATAACTGCTCATGAAAAAATTGGAGACAATTCTCGATACCGGAGAGTAGGGTTCTGTTGTTTTACTGGAGCTTTAGAGAAAGAACATTATAAAAACGAGCAGCGCGCTGCACAAAGCATTTTGCATTCACGCAGAGTTCGAGGAAAGGCCGCACCCTTATGGAGGTGTACTGTAGGCAGTCTATCGTGATGCAAACATCATTGGCTATTTTCACGTCTCGAACACGTGACTTATAGGTCACACGGAGACAACTTTACCGTTGCTCCAAGGCTACTGTTGCTCCAAGGCTTCCTTCAGAGGAAGAACATTATATATGGTTCAAAAACAAGATGAGGGATATGAAAAGTACAGATCGATGTTCCTCATAATCTTATGTTTCGAGAATGACTTCGTCCTGTGGAAATCAGACGTACAACACAAAAAAGATCAATTTTTTGGTTATACATTATTGTATTTGCTATGCAAATAAAAAATCCTAGCGAAGAAAATATTCTATACCGCAATAAACAAGAAGAGTTTTTTCTACTTTTACTAGAGGATAAGTTAGTTCAAGGAGTGAAAGAGGGACAGATTTGTTAGTTAGCGTGTGATTTTAGCTTCGAGGGATTGTCTAAACTAATCTGTTGCTTTCTTACCTACCATTAGATATTACACAAAAGTCTACACGTCCTCATCTCTCTCTCTCTCTCTCTCTATCTTCTTTTGTTCTTAATAAAACATATTTCTCCATTTCCTCTCTCCTCTTGACGTCTTTGTTCTTTCTGAGCATAACGGCAAATACAAGAAACAATAATCCTCATGTTAACCTCTTTTTCTTATTTCTCACAACGTTTTTGAAATTTTCCATTTCGTTTTCTCAAAACTTACTAAAAGGAAGTATATTTTTTATATTCTAAATAAGAGAAGTAAGAATTAGCATACATAGGAGTAATAACTAAAAGATGTTGCTGCATGTATTCTTCAATGAACATATCATGATAATAAGCAAATTAAAATAAACAAGAACGGAACAATAATATTTACACCCTTCGTTCCAATTTATGTGAAGGTCGGGTTTAGGGTAAGGTCAAATTACTCAATTTTAGACGTAATTCAATTATAGAATCTTAAAAGATGTTAATATAAAATTTACATATTTACAAAGTACAGAAAAGTGAAACACAAGGAGTACCTTTATCAAGAAAACACAAAATCATTTGGTGACAATTTTATATTCCGAAATTGAATTAAAAAGTTAGAAACTACAAACTGATCCTCTTGATTGAAGTTTCAATTACAAAAATCCAATGACTTTACATAATTTAAGGAAAGAGGATATCAACAAAATGGAGATTTGAGAATAAGACCAACTTATTATAAGTCATAGCTAAAAAGGTCAAGCTGCCTGAGCCTATCTAGTCCGATCACGCACCTTTTTGTTTGTTTCAGAGCCGTTTGTTTTGGGCTGACATACTAAACCATAACACATTAGTCCATTAAATAAAAACTAAGTAGTTAATTAATCTTCAAAACCAGTTTGCTTCCAAATAGCATTCCTCACCCTACTCAAGTCTCTTCCTTTAAGTGTCCTTCCCATACCTTCATGCATGGAAAATGAAGCCACTCTTGTCCTTGCCAATAATTCATGAGGTGGAATTCTACTGTCCACGTTGTCGTCATCATCGTCGTCATCGTTATCGTTTCTCTCTCTTAGACAATTATTCTTGTAATCATTACCTATGATTTTCGACCAATCCGGTATGTTCACTGGCATTGATGTTGCTGCAGATATTGCCTTCCCTCCAGATTTTTTTGCTGATTTTTTCAAGAAACGGGAATTAGGTATTGATTTTTGAGGAAGAATTTCGTCTGAACTATTAGTATTATTCCATATATCAGATTCATCAAACTCGAATTGTAGAGAACTAGCACTACAAGGCATAGGACTTTTCCTTTCTTTTCCTCCTAGAGAGAGGTAGCTCTTTCTCATTGCCATTAATTGGAAATGATTAATTACTATATTGGATAATGATTGAGAAAGATATATGGTATTGTTATTATATTTTAGGTCTGTTTGGTTTATCTGTTTGTTTGATCAAACAAGGACTTGATATAAGACTTTTAAGTTCTTTATATAGTGGTGGTTTCGAACATTGCTTTAGCTAAAAAAAGTACTTTAATTTCTTTCTTGTAGTATTATTAAGTTTATGGGAGAAGTTCTAAAGTACAAGTCTCTTTCTTTCGTTTGATACGATACTCTCTTATTTTACTCTATTATAAGAAAATTATTTCATTGTTTTTATTTTACATCACAGTATTTGACTACATACTAAGTTTAAGAATTAAAGAACACTTGTGATATGTACGCTAAATATATGCGAAGTACCAAAAATATCCTTTTAAGTGAGTAGTACGTTGTGACAGTTTCATTTTAAATGAGCAGGTGGTAGTTGTCCCAACAAGTCATGTTATTATGAGTAAAAAAAAATTATACCTTATTCTTAAGGACATGATCTTATAGCAATATGAATATCATAACATGTTTAAAATCATAATTCCTAGCGATAATTTTGATATGTGCCAAAAGTCATTTTTTATTTTTTTAAATTTTATGTCTAACCAAATACTATCATATAAATAAAATGCAATAGAATCGATAAAATAATCCAAAATGGCGATCGACTTTACCTAATTTCGAGTCTTATCCATTGTTTTCCCTTTAAAAGTTGATTGATAATCATGGCCAGAGGTGTATATAGGTAGGGTTGGTTCGAATTTTTTAATTAGCAAACCAAATTAATAGTGTTGGATTTTTAAATCTATAAACCAAATCAAACCAATAAAGTCGGGTTTTCAATTTCGGTTTTCTCGGATTCTTCGGATTTTTTCGGGTTTTCGAATTTTTTTCGGTAAAGTCTTTATAGCACAAAATATGTAATTTGTGCTCCAAATTTTTTTTTTAGTCCTAGTAGGATACAACTATATAATGTATTTTACAATAAAATAACACGACAAAATGAGATGAGTCATAGCATTGTACTAAAATATTCAATAACAAAGATAATAAAATCGCATAAAACAAATATTGCTAAATTATAAGCCATAATAAAATGAACATAATATAAAAGTACTATATGAGTTATGCTAAAATAAGTACATCTAATAAGCACTACGTAGTATTAATTACATGACTAATCACTAAAGAAAAAGATAAAGTTATGCATTTTCATTATACACCAATGCAAAACAAAAAATAGATATCTAACACTATTTCATTTCTAATGTTGAATTGACTTTATTTTGTTAGCATTAGTATTGATTTGAACTTTATTTGAGTTACTACATTTATGTGCTATAAAACATATTGGACCATTCAAGAATGTTAAGTTGGAAATATTTATAAAGTACATTATAATAAATATTTATATGTATAAATATTTTTAAAAATTGTATAAATGTAATGTCGGGTTGGTTTGGTTTCGGTTTGACTTTTTTAGTTAAAACCAAACCAATTATGGTCGGATTTTTTTTTCAATACCAAATCACATCGAATTCTTTTTCCCGGATTGACTCGAATTATCGATTTGGAGAGATTTATCGGTTTTCTTTGTACACCCCTCCCTACTCATGGCTACCAAACTTAATAGAAGCTACCTATGATATTCCCTTTCTTTCTTTTTATTTTTTCTTTCTGCTTTATTTGGATAAGGTTATAATTTCAAATTAAAGAAAACTAAGAAGAGATAGAGTCTAGGAAAACTAATGACGATTCGAGAAAAAAATAAAAAATTATCACAATTTCAAAAGTAATCGAAATTTAGCCACTTTTTCATGTAAAAATAAAATCTGAACAAAAATACCCTTAAATATCCGGAAATATTTTAGCATAACATACCGGAGTTCGAATTTTTTTACATATGAGCTTCCAGCATAATGTGTTGGAATTTCATACAGTGCTGGAGTTCCAACATAATATGCGGGAAGTTTATATGTAGGAGCTCCATAATCTCGCATATTATGCTGGAACTTTCTGTGTGCTGGAGTTCCAACGTAATATGCTGGAAGTTTACACGTACGAGCTCCATAATCCCGCATAATGCCGGAATTTTTCGTGTTTTAGTAAAACAGTGGCTATTTTTCAATGACTTTACAAATGCTGGCTATTTTTTATTACCAGTCCAAAAATTGGATGGTCCATGTTATTTTCACAACGATTCCTTAATTAGAGTACTTTAATGGAAATTTTACCTCCTACTGCAAAGCTTTACACCTTATTTATTATAAATAAATATCCCTTTAAAATATTATTTTCTATAGCTACCTTTTAGGTTTTATAGCAAATTATGTATTTATGATCACCTCCTACTGTTTAGCCATTAAATACGATGGGTAATATTTTTCTCACTCCTACTTACTGTATACAACTTAACCACGATCTCTCTCCACCCTCTCTCTCTCTCAACGCCAGTCTCTTCTCCATGAATACAACCACGATTCTCCACTGATTCATCTCCATTGTCTCGCGAAATTTTCAAACTTTTTTGCTCCAAAAAGTTGTGGTAAGTGTTAAAGTTGATAGATTTCGCTGGTATCGGGATTGAATGGAAAGACAAGACAAAACGAAACAAAAAAAGATGAAGGAGAAACAAAGATTTGGAGAAATACAAGTGCAGATCTCAAAATTTACAAAGCAGAAATGAGAGGTTCACTACCTGGACGACCCAGAGGGCGCCGGTACCGGTAGCGATGCCCCACATGGCGGCGGCTTGGATATTGGTGGATTGGGGACGGAGAACTCAAAATTTCATCTCCAATGGCTGATTCAACAACTCACAAGAGGGTTACCTGACATAGAAACAAGCCCAATTTAAGAAATCTTCGAAAGAATCAACACTTACTGATGCAGAAAAGAGAAGATAACTTATGGATGATGATTTAGGGGTTAAGGGAAAAGATACTTTATTTTCATTGTATTCAATGTATCTCGTTGTATTTCATGTATTTCATTATATTCACTATCTTTAGTTTTTTCTACTTTTTCAATATATTCACTGTATTTAACTGTATTCAATGTAATTATATAACTTCAAAGCTTCACTTTGTTTCACTGTTTTGTCCAGCAGTATATATTCAACAGTATGTATTCAATATACTGTAGAATGTATTCATATTTTTTTTAAATATTAATATAAGTTATGTATTTAGATGTATATATGTATTCAAATGTATCTGCAATATGTATTTATATATTTTTGCACAATAGATGACCTGCTATACTTCATGTATTCAATGTATTTTATGTATTTAACTGTGTTCAATGTAATTATATAATTTCAATATATAAATCTATTTGTAAAGATACCACTAAAAAATATTTTAGTAAAGATATTACTAAAAAAAGAAAGGATGGATTGAATCTCTGAAGATTGCTCTGTTTTTTGGGTGTTTTTCGGCTGAGAATCTTTTCTATAACTGGAGATACAAATTTTGCGTGTTTTAATTGAGTTTGTTGAATTATATTAGGAATCTATCGCGTTAATTGATTCACTTTCCGTTTTAAACAGCTGAAGACCTTTTTTTCCGCAGATTTCTGTTACTGTATTCACGAATACAGCTCGCGAATACATATGAATACAATCTATGTTTAGCTGGACTTCCTTGTTTTCCGCCGAGCTTTGCTACCGTATTCATGAATACAGTATCTTGAATACATCGAATATAGTCTATAACAAGTAAAAATATAACTATAGGAAATAATTAAGTAAATAGTAGCTATAGCAAATTAATAACCACTAAACAATAATTATTTCTGAAAATTCCTCTACTTTAATCTTGAGATAAGCTCGCATGGCAATCACTCTGGCCCATTATATGGAATGGATTGATGTGAGATGATTGAAAGGATTAGGATTTTAGGCCTATCTTGTCTTAAATTGTCCCCTAAAGGGAATAAGCAAGAATAAAGTCTTGAGAAAATTATAACTTGACAACCCTACCATTCATTTGTCAAAGATTTTTTTTCGTTGTTTCCCTTATAAAATTTTGATAAAAGGAAAAAGATGTCGAACCCTTGTGTTGCCCTTGCCCGTCATAAAATTGTAGCAGAAAAATTTGAAAGAATACTTTAATAAAAACTATTTGAGTCGAATAAAAATAATTATTAATAGCAATAATTTGGCTTAGACCGTATTGAAATTAGTAAGAAAATAAAGTACGATATCTTTACTAAAAATGATAGAAAGCATGTCTACATATTTTATAGTAAAAATATTTTAGAGCTTTAATTAAATTACTCAAATCTTCATATTAGTAAATAATATTTTTTACAAGAAGATCCAAAGTAACGTATTACAAACACATGGTTAACATCATATTAACTTGAAGTAACTCTTTCTAGTATAAATATAAACTGTCAGATGTTTGTTGTGAACTTAAAAGCTTTCTCGTGAAATACCACGCTATAAACAAAAATAAAAAATAAAATAAAAAGACTTTAAATTCGCCTTTATGCCACTAATTTTATTAAGTGGCAATTGATATTGAGAATGAACAAACCTATTTATCAAGCCTAAAAAATTATGGTTCCCTCAATCTTGCATGAGCTATGAAAATTAGAGAGCAAAGAAAGAACTTTTCAAGTTATACTATACATCTTCTCTCGTCACTAAAAAATCTTCATAATATCCCAAGCGATGTGAAAGAGTTTTTGAAAATTCTGTGTATAATAAAGGGCACCTATTCTTTCCCTAGTCCATAAGGTCTCATAGCTTCTTTAGAAACTTTATGATTGAATATGAAGTTCTTCTGTCTATTAAATTCTCCATTTGACAAGTGCATCTATTACTTGGTTGTTTTCCGCAAACAATATTGTTTAACTATAGTAAACCTGTTGAATTTCAGCAACAAGGTCAAAAGTTGTCATTTGTCATCGCTTTACCTTGCACCATGTTCAGAACAAGCGTAGAATTTAAAAACTTTAAGAGTGTTTTAGTCATTTTAATTAAAAAATAGTCTCTTAACAATTTCTGCTAAACATATTATTTATTTATTTATTACTTCTCTCCAAACATGTAAGTCGTAACT